CTGCCCTCCTCGCGCGGGCAAGATGGCGGCCGGGCCCTCGCTGTGAGGAGAGGGGGCACCTCCTGCCCCACGCAGTCACCTCCGGGCGCCAGGACTGACTCCTGTGCAGTCGGTCAGCACAACAAACTAACGCAGCGGCGGGATGGGGTGTCGGGCTGTAGGGCTCGCTGCGCGAGGCCTTTTCCCGTGGCTCGATGGATCGCTTTTCTGTGGCCCCGTTACCGACAGCGTTGTTGTGCCCCAGCAGTTTTCATCGGTCAGTTGTAGAGCAGTGCTGTTTGCAAAGGACCAGCCCGTTTTTACTAAAGCCATTTGTGTGATGAGAATAATAAAGTAGGTGGGTAGAGAGATTATTTCTTAACACGTTAATGCGTGACTCACCAACAGGTATATAGGCAGATAAATGGCAGGTCTGTGGCTGAACAGTTAGAGGTGATTTGATGAAGGGTTCAGTAAAGCAGCATGTCTGCATCTTTGCTGGTGTCAGGAATTTTCAGCGAACTGCAGATGGGAGAGAAAGACTTAGAGTTGATGCAGTCCTGATGTCTGTCACTAGTGTATTTATACTTTTTTACTTTTAATGTCTGAATATGAATGAAAACTGTGGTGGGTGGACACTGCTGTTCATATCCTGGCAATCTCACACTCAGAATTGCCTGACGTTTCTACAGGTTTTGAATGACAGATGAAGTTCCATCACTGACACGGGAGGTGTATGTCAACTACATATGCTGCTCTTCCAAAAAAAAGAAAATGATGGTGGTTTTTATGCTCAGTGGTCTGTGTTCAGGACTCTGCAGAAAAGAGATGGGGGTCTCTGACAGCGTTTTCTGCATTTAATATTTACAGTTAACGTTATTCTGTACTAAGTATGCTAGCAGCACGTTGAGTTTGTTACCTTGTGCAATATATACACAGATCTGCTTACACAAGTCATCAAAAGAACATGAAAATCAAGCCAAGAAAGCACATTAGAGACTGAAATTACAGTGCGAGTATGTGACACAAAGCAGAAAAAATTCCTTCTGTTGATATTCTGAAAAACAGTGGAATCACCAAAGTGTGGATTTTGGTGATGAATAGAAATACTTGCTGCCACGATTACCCTTTCAGAGCTTTTTGAATTGGAAATGAACAGTTTTGAACAAGATCCAGATAAGATTATAAATACTCTCATGAAGTCCTTTGCAGAAAAAATCACTTGGTTTTGTGGAAGAATGGATCCAGTGCTATCATCCAAACCTTTGAGAGTTTGTCACCCAGAAAATGATCGATTACTTTGGGCAATGGGGCAAGGTTTGCAATCTGATCAAAATCCTTCAGGTTTTGACTGCTTCATGTAAGGAACTGCACTGAATATTTCACCTAAATCTGAGATGTCCTATGGCAGAAGAATATTGCCATTGGATTGAAAAGATTGGCACGGTTGCTGGAAATACTAAATCACCACAACTGATGTAAGTAAGGTGAAGTATTCTTTTAAGAATTTTTAGTGCTTTCAAATTAAAATGGTTTAGCATCAGTTTAAGTTCTATATAGGACTAGCGTGGTTTTAGTATGTAATATCTACAGTCTATAACTTAAACCACCTTTGTATACCAGTTGTCATGTCTTGAGGTTGAACTTTGATACGGGGTTGAATAGGGAAGAAGCGGGTTTGCAAGGCAGATTCTGTCAAGTGAGCTGGGAATATTTGAGTAGTTACTGAATCAAAATAAGATCTTCATGTTTCTTTTAAAAGCAAACAAATATATATGCATTTTGCTTTAACATCATTCCCATTTTATGTCATAATGTATCAAAGCAAATAACTGCTGTTTTGTAACAGTGGTGTGTTCAGAGTAATGAATGATCTCTGAGTTAGTTTAGAAATAAACCTGAAGTGTCTCATATTTTATATCCTACAACTTACTGATATAGCATTTGGTCACTGAAGACTTGCAGTGTTCTGCGAGTTGACTGTTGGAAAACTACGCTCTGCTTTGTAGTGTTTTGTTGTGTAGTTAGCAGCAGTTACCCAGCAACTTCCAAACAGAAGTGTTTCAAGCTCTTATATGGCTTTCTGTAGTACGGATGCTTTAAAGCAGCCTTCTCCCTTTTTCCAGTGTCTTGATTTCTGTTCTGTTGATCTTATTTATGTGTAACTCACATGAAATTTAAAAAATTTAGTCTGCAAAAGTGTACTTAACATTAGAACTGCCTGGGAAGCAAAATGAACACCGATACTGGCTTGGTTACGCCAGTAAAACTCCCCGTGAGGACAGCCTTATCCCAGAATAAGAATACACTTCCCAGATTGCTTATATCATGTTGCAAGTGCTAT